CCAGCTTAAAATGTATAAGAACTCCGCCAAATGCTGGAAATGTAATCAGATTTCAGGAACACACATGTGGTGGACGTGTAATAAAGCAATGAATTACTGGGAGAAAATTCATAATTGGTTAGAAATTATAACTGCAACATATTGAGTTCAAACCAGAAACATGCCTTTTAGGTATACTGTCGGAAAGTTATAACAAAGCAATCATATAGTTAGTGTTACATATATTGATGGCAGCAAGAATCATATATGCTAAATAATGGGAAAATGCGAACACCGAACATAATTAGGAAAATTTGGGATTGTGCTGAAATGGATAGATTAACCTTAAAAATTAAAGATAAAGAAGATTTGAAATATTATAGGACATGGAATAAATTTTATAGATAGAAACAAGAGGTATAAGAGGGAAGTTGACAAATGTCAATAACTGTTAGCATGGAAAATAAAGATGCTATAGAATTATGGATATAGTATGGAAAAATTGTAAATAGGCTAATGTAAGTAGAAATTTAGTTAAAGATCCTTTTCTTTTTCTCCTTTGGTTGTATTATTGTAATTACTGTAAATATATTATTGTTATAGTTCTTAGCTTGTTAAGTATGTTAAGTTTTGCTATTGATTTTTCTTTGCCTTTGCTTTGTAATTGTTATCCATAAAGTATTTATATAAAAAAAGAACATTTGCTAAGCAACCAGCCATTAAGCGAGGACCACTTGTATTTGGTTTGCCTTAAGGGTTCAGCGTTGTATGGAATCTGGTTTCCTTGAAATCCTTGTAGGGGGAACTAGGATCATGCCCACCGTTTTTTGGAAAGTTGCTGTCTCACATGAACAGTTAGTCCTCAACTTATAACCACAATCGAGTCCAAACTGTTTTATACTTAAAACAGTAATAAGGGCAAATAAATGATGTTGAGTTGGCCATGCCCACCAGTCACATGGCCACCTATCCATGCCCACAGAACCAGTAGTAAAAAATTTTTTTGAATCCCACCACTTCATACATAGTAGTATGGTGTTTATTCCTTTTAAGGTAGAAATGGGGGTAGAATTTGTACCCATGCCAGAATACCTTAGGGAACCCCTGTAGTCAGTAAGTTTGACTGAATGGGTAGGTTCCCTCCAAAGTGCCCAAGAAAACGTGAAGAAAGCATTAGCTAAAGCAACTGAGAGTCAGAAAATCCAGGCAGACAAGTGATCACCCCAGGAGAAATTTCATAGAAGGGACAAAATGTATCTGTCTATAAAGTACCTAAAATTAAGGCTACCTTGTAAAAAGCAAGAGCTGAAATACACAGGGCCTTTCCTTATTTCATAAACCCTGGTCATAAACCCAGTCACAGTGGAACTCAGGTTACCCCCTACATTGGGAAAAGTGCACCCAGTGTTCCATTATAGTTTGCTTAAGCTGCTGGTGGGATCCAGGCTAAGACCAGTGGCAAAAAAGGTTACAGGTCCCATAATAATGGGATGGGTGGGTTAAAAAGCAGCATGAAATTAAACGAATATTGGATTCCAGACTAAATGGGAAAACTCCAGTACTTAGTACAATGGAAGGGTTACCCAATGTCAGAAGCACAGTGGGTTAAAGCCCAGAATATGAAGGTGGACCAGGTCGTAAGGAAATTCCATGAAAAGTATTCCCAAAAGCCCAGGGCCCCTTCCTAGTGGGGTTGGGAAGCCCTGATGTAATTAATATGTGTTTACTATTTTTCAGGTACCTTTCACATGCTGGGAGGGAGGGAGGTGTCCAACTGAAAGTCAAAGCGAGATAATGCTGTTTCAGCCATTTTCACTTCTTAGCTTGCCACAGAACCAGGGGGGGGGGGGAAGGAAGATTAGATTTCAGGAGACAACAAGAAAATTGTCCCATGGGAAGCAAGGTCATCTAACCAGATGGTTGACGAAGACTTGGACAGGTTTCTGTAACAACACCCAGACACCTAACTGGACAACATGACCTGCACTAATAGAAAGAAGGGAAGGAGCTATTATTTAACTATGTGAAAATCGTGGGAATTAAGTAGAATTTGTTTTCAATATGTGCCGAAGATGTACTCAATAAAGTTTTGCATAATGAGATTGGATCATTGCGACAGTGCTTGCTTGCCTGGGTTTGTCAGTTGGGACGTTGACATTTTGTTTATTAGATCATTGTCTAGATTGTGGCTCTTTCTCCTGCTTCTCAAGCTTATTGTGATGGATTGTATCAATGAAGGGGGTGGTAATGTGATAGTGTATTGCATTACAATGAAGTGGCTTAAGATTTAAGATAGTCACTACTTATAATCACCCAAGAAATATCTGTAAAGATGAGTGTAGTATAAGTTTTCGCCTGGCAAGATTTTGTCTATTCGATATAAGCAGATAAAATACTTAACTTTTGATCTATGTTGTCCTTGGACAGAGCCTGACAGTTATATTTATATCCATTAATATTAGACCATAACCTTTTTCTTAATAAATTGTAACAATATTTGATGGTGGTGCCACTATCAGATGAACCATATCCAATACATGATATTTAATGGGTCTATGTCCACACGGAGGAAAATATAAAATAGGGTTTTCAGAACTCTATCTCGCCCTAAATTCCTTATGAAGTTTACCATCTTCATAAGGATTTTTTTTTGGGGGGGGGGGATAAAAATGATGTTCAGAAAATTTGGCAGGCCCAAAGCAGAGGAAAAGCAGGTTGTTAATATTTAAGAAGACAACTTAAGATTCCCAAAAATCTTGATAGGTTTGAACTGGATTCCTCCAATAAAATGTTGTCCAGCAATGTGCTATAATTGCCAAAAGAACTAATGCAGTTTTGGATTGAACCAGTAGCAGAATAAAGGTCGTCCTCAATTATAGTCATTTATTTTTCATTTGTTATAAGTTATGAAAGCACTTGACAAGGGGGATTTATGATCAGTCCTTGAGCTTTTAACTATCAAGCATTCTGCAGTGACATGATTATCATTTGTGATAAGCAAAATCAATGGAGAACAGGAGTGGGATTCTGTGGGCGTAGCTTTGGGGTCATGTGATTTAGTGGGCATGGCCAACTCAACATGAGTGATGTCGAGATGGCCATGCCCACTCAGTCACATGACTCCCACCAAGCCATGCTCGCAGAAAAGGCAGCTCCTGCAGCCTGTCCTTTTATGGTCTCCCCTCTCCCCTCATGTAGAAGTACTTTAAAGGGATACTGCAGTCTGGCTGCCTTCCAAGGAACTCTGCCACAATGCCATCCCTCTGGCGCAGCAGGGTGTTCTCCTGGCCGGGTCTGCCAATGGGGTGCAGCTGCTCACACGCACCAGCAGGCAATGGGGTGTGCATGTGTGGCTGGCGTGAGGAACAGGAGGCGATGGGAGCGACAGGACTTCAGGCCTCTTTTTCGGCCTGTAGTTTTCAATGCAAGAAGCCTCCCAGCCCCCACCTCTTTGCCAGATCAAACCAAGCTGGCAGCATCAGCTGCAGATTTCTTGTACCAAAAAGTACTCACCTCTGCTTTTCAAACACACCAAAAAAGAGCTTCAGTTTCCATCATTGTCACCATCCTGTTCTTCCGGTGCAGCAGGCATGGGGTGGGCATGTGTGGCCGGCACAAAGAACAGGGTGGCGACAGCAGGACTGAAGCTCTTTTTTGGCACATTTGAGAAGCGGAGGTCAGTAGTTTTCAGTGCAAGAAGGTAGCTCGGTTCTGGCTGGTAAAGAGGTGGCAGCTGTGAGGCTTCTTGCACTAGGTGGGGGGCAGGGGGGCCATTACTGGTTCGGTGAACCAGGTCAAATTTCCCGTACCGGTTTGCCCAAACCAGTGTGAATTAGCTGAACAGGTTGTAAGTTGCTCCTGTTCCCTCCACTTTCTCTCCCAGTGAATTTCTGGGTGGCAAGTGGATCTTATATTCTGCAGTGCCTGGCTTTGCATTTTTGCCCATATATAAGCCAAATCACATGTCTACCTGCATTTGCATCTATTTGCAGCATCTGCCTGCACACACTATTAAGTTGAAGTCATGCAAGCTCCATTTCTGGAGGGTTTCAATAAAAAGTTGGATATCTATTTGTCCAGGATAAGAAGAGGCTTCCAGTACTAAATGACCTCCAAAATCATTTCCAGCCCTATGATTCTATGAATTCTGCTTTTAATGCAAATCAATCTACTTTTGTATTTTCCCTGTTGCAATTTTTAAAAAGAAAAATTGAATCAATATAATATTAACTTTACTGCGCAAATTTTCATTAGCTTTCACATGCAATTATTTTGTCAATAGTTTTATAAAATATAAGCAAAGACTTTCATGCTATTTTCTGTAACATCTGATTCATGAAGAATCCCTAAATTCACTGCTGACAGAACCCATGTAAGAATTATTTTATACTCTTGATCTGTAAAATTGAGCTAGTTAGTTTTTGAACTGCTTGGGGAATCCCATTTCTAGATTTAATATAAATAATGTGTTTATAAAAAAAAGGATCACTGATTTTTTCACTCATTTATTTAGAATATTTCTAATTATGTTTTCCACTGATATTTGAATATTAAAAGTATTATGTGAATTTATGTTTTAAAAATGTAGCATTGCCACTCAGTACAGCTTCAATTTCCTTTCAGAATATGGTGCACAAGTAGTTATTTTTGTACCATAAACATATGCTTATCAATCATGTAATGTGTTGATTTGCATAAATTAATATATGTTTGTGAAGTTTTTTTAAAAAATGGTAACAGGCTTTATATAGAAATAATAAATGGCATTTAAATTGATGCTTATACTTTATCAAGGGCTATTCTATTATATTTTGTACTGATAACCAGCTTGAATAATATAGAATATAGAGAAACAGTACAGATTCTATTCTATTTGTGTAATGACATGTTAATTAATTCCAATATGGATTTTAAGATGACAAAGAGAAGGTTTATGTTTTTAAAAATAAAAGTTCATAGGGTTCTGAAAAAAACTAAGTGTTAGCCAAATGCTACCTAACAGAAGTTTATAATTTTTGTAGGTAATAGCTCTAGCAGATGCAGCTGAAGAAAACCAAGCCATTATGTTCCAGGCATTCAGAAAATTAAAAAGTGCCACCCAGCTGCTAATCCTGCTGATTAGTCTATGGCAAAAACTGAGTGTTGACCAAGTTGCTATTCTGGAAGCTACATTTCTGCCATTAACACAGAATACTCAAGAATTGGTAAGATTGTGCTAATTTAATTTTTAAACCACAAAAATATTACATTCATAAGGGATGGTTTTTAATTTAATTTTCTTCCTGCATGGAATTTTGAATTAATGTTCTACTTGAATCAGAGTGCCTTTTCTTTTTACTGAAGGGCAGTGAGCTGCTTCAGCTAACACATTTGGAGTGCATTATTAAAGAGCAACAAAAACAAATCCAGAACACACTGTTCCCTCCATTGTATTAACTTTCATTTATATGTAAAGCTTTAATTTATTTGCAATGTCCAAGTTTTATGTCTGCCTTGTGGACATAAATTGTGGGCCAATGCTTAGTGGGATAAGCTCTTGTTTTTCAGGGAACAAGTCTATTTTGAAAAGCCAAAGTTACAGAGATGAAGAAGCTTAAAGAACTAGGGAAACATGTAGACAAGATCTTTCAATTATATTATCTTCATAGTACTTTCAGGATTATAGAGAGTTTCTCTTAGCCTATAAAAATATTATTAATTGGTTTATCCACTTTTCTCACATCACTACAAAACTGTCTAGGTGCAGCATCCAGATTAGGAAAGACAGAAACACTCTACAGATAATAATTCTGTACATTAATTGGGGTCTTCTAACCAATTCCCTATCCAAGCTTTTTTTTTTTTACTCATGTCAGCCGCTTTCTATCACCTACCACCTCAGCTGCCATTTCCTTCATGGTCATTGACTGTTGCTATATAGATAAACTTTAGTTAAAGTCACAGCCATGATGAAAAAATAACACTGTGATCAAGGTATGAATTTACAACTTTTACAGCATCTGTGTCTGTGACATCTTTGCCATTATATTCAGAGCATTTGTTGTCTTGTGTCTCACTGTTCCTACCCCCCCCCCTAAAGAGATTGCTTAAAACATGAAATCTTTTCCTCACCGCTTTTCTTCACAGTTCAGCACTTCCCCAAAAGGCAGTGACCACAAGTTAAGCTAAGCTCTTTGGCCTTAATTAGTAGTTTGCAACTGCTGCCTGGAGCTGACAAAACTTTAATCATTTTCACACTTCGACTTTTGTTTGCTTCCTGAGTTACTTGGGGCCTGGAACTGTGAATGCAGTAGGCAAACAGCAATAAGTATTCAATAAGTATTTCCGATTGTGTAGTCTTTTTTCCCCTCCAATGAATGTAAATACAAACATTAATTATCTTCTTGCTAATTATCCCAGTATTAGAATGAGTATGCCAAACTAGGGCAGCGGTGTCAAACTCACATCATTAGGGCAGCATCATGTGACTTATCAGGATACTGAACTAGGAATTGGCATGGCTAGCACATGGCACATCTGGTCCATGGGCTGGGAGTGGAGAAAAGGAAAGCTGAAGTTAAATCGTAAGTTCAGTTGCAGTCATGTGATTTTCCACTTAGCAAGCACATCACATACAAACAAGTTGCCATTCTCAGTTGTGGTTTAGTGTCATTTAGTACGAGGACTACCAACAGCTTGTTAAGTAAAATTTGCTGTAGGAGATCATTTTCATTCCTTCAGAATTCAAAAGGTATAATTATTTGGGAAGTAATTGAAGGAATATTTTAGAAATTTGTATGGGAGTTTATTTATTTACAAGACTTATGTAGGCATCTATATTATATAATGATTCTGGATTGCTCAAAATATCATTGATATGTAGTTAAAAATGAAAGTACCTTCCCCCAGACCAACATTCTCAAAACTCAGCTCCCTTCCTAGCCTAATGCTTGGGACAAGAACCAGTTCTTCATGGCCTTTTGGAAAGCTCCCTCAGATCTCAGGTGGAAGACTGTTCCAAAGAGCTGGGGTTACCACCAAGAAAGTCAGTGATATGGGATGGCTGGGTTGGTCATTGGGAATACAAATGAGAGAGAGATGTGGAACAGTAGACTTGAAACAAATGCTCTATAGTACATAAATCTTTGAACCCAATAAAAAGAAAATGGAAAGTTTGTGTGTGTGTGTGTGTGTGTGTGTGTGTGTGTAAAATATAAGAACGAACAAAATTTAGGAAGAGCAGAGTGAAAAATGCACAAATATAAGAAAGTTTTTTGTACATTTTTAATTTAGAGAAAACACTTTATATTGTTAACATCCAATTAAGGAATGTTTTCTGTGAATATGGAGTGAAGAGTAGTTGCTGAATACAATCATAGCAGTATATAATGGAAGTAATACATTGATAATAGTTCAACTTTGAGAGTTACATAAGACAAACATGGAAGAGACATGTAAGACACTTATTGGTTGATGGACTTATATTGCTATCATGACTAGACTTGAAGCTGTGGAAATGAGAGGACTTTTTAGTGAGATGACTTTGTTGTTCCATAGTATTAAAATATCATGTATGGTATAGACAAGAAATGGAAAATATTCTGCAAAGAACAATGAATAAAGTGAATATGAATTGGTGGAAACAACAGAAAGATTGGATGAAATGGACTACTTAAACCAGCAAATTAACTATGAACAGGGAAAATATGGATCAGAAAAACTAGCAAATGAAACAAAAGCTTGAAGAGAAAGACCACACAAATGGCAAGAAAAGGGAACAGAAAGAACAGATGAATTGGCAACATCAACAAATAAATCAAGGACTAGAGCAAAAAAAAATAGGACTGACAAACCAGCCAATAAAGGAAGAAAGATAGAAGAAAATAAAACAGATGAATCAACAATTGGATAGACAGGAAGATATATTTGATAAGAATATTGAGACATGGGTAGACATTTGGGAGAATTGCCAACATACGTTTGTACTGGGAGAAAGGTCTAGACTGAACAAGAAAGATAGGGATAAAGATGAGGTGTGTGGGAGGCAAGTAAAAAAATGCACTTGAATCAGAGATGGTATTCAGCAGGTTCTGACCAGTTCCTCAGAAATTTTGAGTAGTTTGGAGAACTGGTAAATACCACCTCTGATTGGCCCTGACCCATTGATTTGGCAACTGTTCAAAGTTACAGCAGCACTGAATTAGTGGTACTTAAGACTGATAGATCTACAGTCATATAATCACATTTGGGCATTTGGCAATTGACTCATACTTACAGTGTTTGCAGCATCCAATGGTCATGTGGTTACAGACAGGGAACATTGCAAATCACTTTGATAAGTCTCCCCAGAGCGCAAGGGGGTATGATTTACTAGAGTAACTTGAGAACTTATCTACCTGCACCATTCATCCACTGACCTTCCTGACCTCATGGTGTACCATCCATCCTCTGGCCTTCCTGCCCTTGCACTTTGCTGAACCATCTACCCCGAGTCTTCATGTGTTCACATGTTGTCTACATTGGGCACCTTCAATTCTCTATGGCACCTCCTTACACAGAACTCCCTCCTCTTCCCACTTAACATCCCGTGCATCTTGGGTTACAACATAATTGGGACTGCCAGGATTGCCTCTAAATGATGTTGCCATATGGCATCGCATATTATGACCACATTTATGACAGTGACACCAATCCTAATAGTTGCTGTAATAACCCAAGGATTACCTGTAGTATTAATTTTATGCAACTATTTGAACCATTTAAAATCAAAATTTTAAGGGTTATATAAAATCCTTAATAATTAATGTATTTGTATGGCATTTGTTTTCAGATCAGAATTTGAATAAATAACGAAAGCTATTTATGTCTGCGTGTGTGTATGCGTGTGTACGTGCATGCACATGCAGATAACCTATATACATCTACACCCACAAACATACAAACTATAGTCAAAAAATTTATTTTCTTTTTAAAATAATTTTATTAAACATATTTTAACATCCTTATCAATAACCAATTTTGTTGTGTTTATTTTGTACAATGACAATAAAAACTATACTAAATTAAAAAACAACACATAGTTCCACTCATTACAATGTTTCCGTATCGATGTCACTTATATTAACATATTTACTATTTATATAGATTAATATACTATGTATTATATATTTATTTAAATTATAACAATATTTACAAATCTATACATTTTTCTCTTTTTGATATACATCTTACATATTCCTTATACAATAACTTTATGTCTATCTTCCAACCAAATGTACCATATATTCCAGATTTTATAATATTCTGATTCTTCTCTATCCTTTAACTCCATGGTTAACCTATCCATCTCTGCACATTCAAGTTTCTTTCTTATTATCATTTGATCTGAGGGGGTGTTGTTCTGTTTCCGATTCTAAGACGATTCTAGCTGCGATTAATATATGCTGTATTATGTATTGAAATTTTTTACACGTTTCCCCTTAATATGCCCAGTAGCACATGCTAATCGCTGCAATCCTTGCAGTGATTAGCATGTGCAATGTTATATATTGATATTTCTTATCCATCTCTGGGTCTAATATACCTAATAAACATCTGGTTTCAATACTATCCTCTGTTCCATGATTCCTTCCAGCCAATCCTTAATTTTAAGCCAATATTTTCTGGCATGGGAACATGTCCACCATATATGATAAAACGTTCCAGAATTATGTCCATATCTCCAACATTCCGCAGATAAGTTTGGATACATCTTGGCCAATCTTGCTGATGGTAAGTGCCATTGGTAGAACATTTTATATAAATTCTCCTTGTAGGCTACCGCCTATGGGGCTTATAGTTTCTTTCCCACAATTTGTCCCAATCTTCTAATTTTATATTATGTCCAAAATTTCTGGTCCAGATTATAATGGTCTTTTTTACAGCAATAGCAATAGCAGTAGACTTATATACCGCTTCATAGGCCTTTCAGGCCTCTCTAAGCGGTTTACAG